CTCCCCCATGCTCGCCAGGAGCGCCGGCCAGGAGGGCCCCTGCTGCCGCGGCCGCTGTGGCTGCGGCGGCGGCTGCTGTTGCTGCTGCTGCTCCTGCTGCTGCCGCTGCCGCTGCTGCTGCCGCTGCTGCTGCTCCTGCTGCTGCCGCTGCTCCTGCTCTTTGTCCCGGGCCCGGGCCAGTTTGGCCTCGGCGCAGAACCACAAGTGATCAGAGAGCAGGACTGTGAAAAACAAGAGAGATGCCAGAGACAGTCGCCATTTCTGAGCCCGCTCTGAATCGATGAACGGTTTTTCGTTCTCCCGGGGTGCTGCCAACCAGATTCTTAAGCCGTCGTCACACTGCCGACACATCCAAGCACCCCTGGTCATATTTTGGGAACGCACAGCCCTGGCCGGCTCCACCGTGAGGGCTCCTGTGCCCCAGTCTCCACAATATGCATTGACTTAGAGGGTTTGGTCTCCTTACCCCTCCTCCCGGCTTCTCTCCCTCCCTCTCTCTCTCTCTCTCTCTCTCTCTCTCTCTCTCTCTTCTTTTCTTCTGCTCTCTCTTCTCTCTCCTTCTCTCGTTTTGCCTACATAAATATTACCAGCTTAGGAGGAAGATCTGACTTGCTTCCAACCTAGTCACCAGCCGACCCCACACCCTGTAGAGTGGGAAACAATGAGAGAGGGGTAGAGAGAGAGAGAGAGAGAGAGAGAGAGAGAGAGCGGCGAAGGAGGCTGGGCTGCTGGCCGGTGGCGAGCTGAGTGCTGGTGGAGGTGCTGGTGGAGGTGATGGTGGAGGTGGCGGCGGCCGGGCGGCGGGCGCTGCCCTGTCACCCGGGCATGGTCAGAGCGCCGGTCCCCATGGCCCTGCGGAGGACAGCCCGCTCTCCCCTGCCAGGGGCATGCCGCGTCTCGCTGCCCACGGAGGCGCCCGGAGCCTCCCCGGCGCCTCCTCTCCGCCTCCTCTTCCTCCTCCTCTTCCTCCTCCTGCCCGGCCTTCTCCCTTCTCTCCTCCGCCTCCCGCTCCTACTCGGCGCTCGCGCGTCCCGAGTCC